CATTTGAAATGTCACCTCCATGGCGTTCAATCATCTCAATGAACTTCAGCAAGTTTTTAACTTAACTATTACGGTATTCAATACATTAACAAATTTAAGATATATAGTTTTGTTTATAGTAATATAGCTGGAATATAACCATGTCAGGAATATGATTTTTTAACATTAAAATGATTGACATTTGTATCTGATCCTCAAACAAGTACTTGTATATATAACTAACCTACAACAATAGTTACATGTTTCTTTCTTTTATTTAGAAAGTATTCCAAGAATTGTCCAGTGCAAAACATTGCCAAGTCTTTGAAAGCCAAGGTCTTGCCATGCCACAGTTCAGCAATCTTCAATTCATTCTTTAATTTGGCGACTTTAACCACTTCACTGCAGCTGAACTTTGAGAAAGCTTTATCTAACAAACCTGTGGGATTTTAGAATCATTACATGAAAAAATAAACCTGAAAGGAAAGGTTTCATGATAAAATGTTCATGTTTTCTTTTGTTTTTTCATTCAATCTTTTAAACTGACGTACAGTTCTGTTGATTTTTGGCATAAACGTAGAAGCTCACAATACATTACAGAGCTATTGTTGAATTGTTGTGTAGTCTACTTGTAAACAAACAATGGGGTGCACAGTGACAGTACAGGCCAACATGGCAGACACAAACAATGGGGTGCACAGTGACAGTACAGGCCAACATGGCAGACACAAACAATGGGGTGCACAGTGACAGTACAGGCCAACATGGCAGACACAAACAATGGGGTGCACAGTGACAGTGCAGGCCAACATGGCAGACACAAACAATGGGGTGCACAGTGACAGTACAGGCCAACATGGCAGACACAAACAATGGGGTGCACAGTGACAGTGCAGGCCAACATGGCAGACACAAACAATGGGGTGCACAGTGACAGTACAGGCCAACATGGCAGACACAAACAATGGGGTGCACAGTGACAGTACAGGCCAACATGGCAGACACAAACAATGGGGTGCACAGTGACAGTGCAGGCCAACATGGCAGACACAAACAATGGGGTGCACAGTGACAGTGCAGGCCAACATGGCAGACACAAAGGTGTGAGAAAAATTTTACCCGTGACCAATCAGCAGTCAGCCTATGAAATGGCAATACTGGATTGGCCCAGCAACGCTATTATGTTCTAATGGTTGCATAGCAGATCAGTTAACTTACTGATGGTGCTTTTCGTGAAAAGTAGAGAAATACATATAGTAAGTAATTTTAAATTCTGCATTTGTACAAAGATTTAATTAATCCCATAGCTGTAAACAAATGTGTATCTTTAGTTTAGTCAAAGACTTAGAGATACTAAAATGTGTTTCCCAACTTCCCTGTTTTTTTTAATGTAAGATCTTGTTGGGTAACTATAATGATTCTTCCCTAAAGTTTTAAAATTTACGTTTCTGGATGACATGTACATTGCAGAACGAAATCTTAACAATTCTCACCGTTTAGATCTTTCCTTGGAATCTCATCTTCGCTTATAAACAGTGGTATAATCTCTTTAGCCAACTCCACAAATGAAAGATTCCTCCATTGTTGCAATGTATTCTGAGTAATCTGTGGTGTTGTCTCTGGCATTAACAGGCCACCATCTCGGACAAAACCAGTAGAAAATAGAGCTTGTTCAAATGTCCAGCCTTGAACTTCACCACAAGTGCTGCAGTATTTCATGATTTACCTGCATAGAAATGTTCATTCACATGATAACACCCTATCATCACTGAATGTGATTTTAACTGTGCTTGTTCAATACTGTTTCCCGAATGTGATGAGTTCAAAGTAGACATGCAGAAGTTTGAATAATGAGAGCACATTTCTAAAAAGTTTGATCTGTGACTTTAGTTTTCACATATGACATTGTATAGCATATATTTGCAAAATAGCAAATTCCGAAGAATTGCATGAAACTTAAATAAGCAACCTTAAATAAATATTTTAAAAATTACATACTGTGAAATACTTTATTTTAGCTGGAAATAATTCTCACTGAGAAGACTTTTTGTGTTTTGTATGGAATGTATTTTGAATGATTTTTGACAAGTTGTATGTAAAATACATGTTTAGGAACAATTATAGTATATTCGCTGGATTTTATTTTCACTGAATCATTCTTTCAGTGAAAATTAATTCCAAGCAAAAATAATGTATTCTACAGTAAACAGACCAAAAACAATTTTTTTTTTCTGTAGCTTAGTCTTCTATAAATATTTAAAGCGAGGGAGTCGTCACCGGCACATGTGTCAAATGGCCATAGCGTGTCATTGTTTACAAATAAGCATCTACCCATGGGCCTTTGCATTTTTAGCGTTTGTTGTTATCATCGCTTGGGATTCAATTCCTGTGCGTGTGCAGGTGACGACCCTCTCGCTTTAAGACATGCTAAAATGAAAATAGAGATTTAATTAATAGTATGTTTCTCAGATTTGATGCATAACTGACACACATAACTCCACGCCCACCCCTGGACAGTTTCAATTTGAATGCAATGGCCATTGAATTATAAATGTAAGTCTGTCTAATTACTTCGCTATTTGCATAACTTCACTGTCTGATCGTCACAGTCAACTCGACATCACTTTGCTATTTGCATAACTTCACTGTCTGATCATCACAGTCAACTCGACATCACTTCGCTATTTTCATAACTTCACTGTCTGATCGTCACAGTCAACTCTACATCACTTCGCCATTTGCATAACTTCACTGTCTGATCGTCACAGTCAACTCGACATCACTTCGCTATTTGCATAACTTCACTGACTGATCGTCACAGTCAACTCGACATCACTTCGCTATTTGCATAACTTCACTGTCTGATCGTCACAGTAAA